GAAGCGTTCTGAACGCATGAATTTCATAATACGAGAATTTTCAAAAAACATAAACTCATAGTTTCTCAACACATACATTCATAATGTGAATATTTTCTGAATACATACAGTCATCATATGAATGCTTTGCGAATGGTAAATGCATGAACGAATATCAGTGCACGAGATAGCAACTAACTCTAGCTGCGTTGTACGCGTTAGAATGATACTCAGGAGCTGCTGCTACATGCTGGAGTTGATTAGCAGTTTTACGAATACTTGCGCTGCTGCAGTGAGCGGCGCAACAGTAACGTTGGACCCACCAAATGCGCCGCCCCTGCAGATGTCTGCGCAACTGAACTGAAGCCGCTGTCTGCACACATAAGTGACCGCACCTTCGCGCATCCATTCTGCATTCTATATAAACCCATAACTCTGAGGCATGCGTGCATGCATGCACGCGAGTTGCGGACACTGATGTGTGCAAACTCCAGTTTCAGTTTTATATACACGGAAGCCATAAGAAACAGCTGCTTACTAGACCCACTTCGGGCGTTATCGAGCACTCCCTGCGACTTACCCTGCCGTGGAGTAAGAAGGCAGGAACTTGTTCAGGGTGTTTTGAAGTCTGAACACAGACAAACCATCACCTACTCATCACCGTTACCTTTGTATGCTTGACAAACATCTAGCTATACAGCCTACACAGGTAATAAACAATGCAAAAATAAATAGTCCTCATCAACACTTCCCCTGTAGAGCTAACAGCCAGCTATACATCCTACGTAGGTAATAAATTGTCGACTGGAGGAGCAATACGTGGCTCACCGAGCGAGTCTGTCGCGGCTGATGTCGTTACACACCAGCAGCCCCTCCGTTTCTTCGTCATTCTCGACACTGTTTGTTTCACTAAGCATGCTGTGGCCTCCAATGATGTACGATGGGACCTTTGCTTGTGTTAGCATCGACAAAATAATTAGGGATTTACCCCCGGGTGCCTAAGGCCGCGCGCCACATTCACACAAATACCCAGAAAGCCTGTCTTCCATATCTTCCTTACCTGCCATTCTTTGTTAAGAGGAGCA